GTTTCTATTGGAGTTTGACACTGCTGCTCTCCTGCAATTCTGTTTCATAACTCACATTATATTATAGATACAGATAAATAATTAAAAGGAGAGGAAGCATGGTAGAGCGGATTGAGTACCAAGAACCCTTAGTTTCAAAACTTGCCTCAGACACTTATTAAGTAGGTAACTCTAAATAAATCATTTCTTCCCTCTGAGTCTCAGTTTCTCAACTGTAAAATGGGAATAATAAAGCATCTACCTCATAGCATGGTTGTAAGGACCAATGGGATAACTTAAGTAGAGTATTTAACCTTAATGCACTAAATAACACCAGATGTTGTTGTTATTATTACTGAGGCCTACTTCCTACTTTACCACCTCAGTACAGTGTCACTCAGGGGTTCATGAGGAAGGAATCAGAAACTAACAGAATCGGAGGGGACAGGGATAGAAGGAACAGGGCTGCAAAACAAAGAAGGAATATGTTTGTTAAATGTATAGGTTTTAAGAAGCATGATTCTTTGACAGTCAAAGTTTCATGTCCCAATCAATATTTGCCATTAACTAGTCTGAAAATCAATAGGTGGCAAACCCTAAAATGTATGGAATTCTTAAACAGGTAAGAAAAATGGCAAAAATTTCCCAGGAATAACTTTTGAAACCTCAAGATCCTCATTTGTGAAGAAAAAGAAGGAAGAAAATCTCACAAGCAGACATTCATTGAAGGGATGAGGTTAGAGAATGCCCTATACCTACGAGCCACTAATGAGCAAAGGCAAAATATGTCTTCGGGAGCAAAAGTCCAGCAAATTAATTTTCTGCCAGCAGTCATATCACTGTGGACATCTCGAAGGCTGCATCCTTTGAACATTAACACTTTCTGACATTTATGAGAAGGGCTCATTGAAGGGCTTAAAGAAACGTGCCTCCTCCCTCTTCAATTTAGAGTGGCCGTTTTGCTCTCTCAGACTTTGGCAAATGACTCTAGGAATAAGAGCTCCATTTATTTCCATGCACTTCTGACTTCAGTGCTCAAAAGTGTGCATGGTTATTAACTGTCTAGTTTAAACCCAGCGCTTTTCATTTGGAAACCACTTATCACCTACTTCATTTAGAGGAAAGATTCAAGAGGGCCCATTGTTCTGTGTTTATGGGTAGTGAAGAAAGGTGAATGTTTCATAGTTTAAATAAAAAGGGAAGGAAAGAAAAATATATACTTTACATTTAAGAAGCATCTGTTATGCCCTTTGATACAAGATTGCTTTAGATGTTATTCTTTTTTTGGCTTGGTTTTTTTTCCCCTCCATTTCTCTGGCATTCAAACGAACTTCTTTAGTATGCAAAAAGTTGAAATCTAGTTATTTATCCTGTTTATATGTTTGATTATTTTCCTGAGTACCTTATATTTATATACTTTTGCATTTTGTTTGAAACATCTAACATCTTTCTATCTATATTAGTTTTTGGATTTAGAATCAAATGTTGATGAACAAATATTCAGAGAAACAAAACACTGTCCCAAAACTATATTAGGTTGCCCATCAATGATTAATAATAATAACTGGTACTTACTTAGAACTTTGAGGTTTGCAAAATGCTTTACAATTATCATTTCTTTTTAACCTCACAACAGGTGAGGTTTATCCATACAATAGGTGCTATTATTATCCTTATTTTACAGATAAGGAAACTGAGGTAGAGGTTAAGTGACTGGTCCAGATTCACATAACTACTAAATTTATGAGGCAGAATTTCAACTTGACTTCTTGATTCTAAGCCCTATGCTGTATCCGTTGTACCACTTAACTTCCAAGTGACTGAGTCATATGAGGAAAGTTTGGGATTTCAAATGGATTGCCTAATATTACAAAGCATTATTCCTCTACAGAAACTGTAGAGAAAGGTTAGGCAAGATAGCCCTCTCTGGAGTAGTCTTTAGGAGGTTTTGGCCTATAAAATTTTCAATTGAAACAAATATGGAACCAAAGGTATATGTATGGGAGTGGGAGGAGTGGGAGGGTGGTGGTGGGGGTGGTGGAATCAATCTGTACATTAAGATATTGGTCCCTACCAAGTTCCATAATCATTTATTTTTGCTGTTACAGAGACTCAACCAGTTTAAGTTTCCCTTCAGGTTTTCAGGGAGAAACAAGGCCTTTGCAGTTGATTCCTCATATCTGAGGAGGAGATCGCTTTATTCTTGTGGAATGGGAAGCCGAGTTCTCTTCCTTGGTGTCTCTTTGCATGATGCTAACTAGTTGCTGTATAGCACCCTGCATGGTTCCAGCCCATTAACCCGGACACAACAGCTTGATGAATTAATGCTTATGTAGGCACAGTTGGCAGCTTCTAATTAAATAATTATAGCTAAGCAGCTGCACAGAAACAGTAATGTACCCTAGAAAGCCAGCTGTCAATTTTATTGGTCCTAAGATGTAGGAAGAGTTAAAATTTAGTTATGAAAAATGGGTATGAAGGAGACGGATCTCACATGTGAGATACAGGCTGCACTGTGGAAGGAACCTCCCTGTTTATGTTAGCCTGCCCATAGAGAAATGGAAAGCAAACAGCTCTTCCACCATCTCCCAGCAACCAGCCAAGAAAGAAGCCATCATACAGCTGTGGGAAAAGAGGCTGCTTCCCAAAGCAAGCTAAATACTTCATCTTTGAGGGGTAAGATTTCTATAAACCCAAAATACCGATTCACACACAGGCAAAAATACATCTCCCATGACTTTGGTCTCAATTTGAGTTGGAGGAATAATTTAGAAAAATTCCTTATGATTTCTTTTTATATTTCTTCTGAATATGTCTTTATTAAAAGATATTTCTCTCCTAAGTATGCCCAGGAGTATTTCTTGCATTCGGCTGAAGCTTCTTAAGATGCCTTGATTTCAAATCTTAAAAATTAAAGTGCTATAAATAGTTTGGCCTTCATTTGACCTGTAACTAAGCTTTCCGATATGGTTTTCAAAAATGTTTAGGGAACAGGTTTGTTCTGAGAAAATCTAAGTCATGATGCTAAGGGAACTTTTTTTTAGAGAAAGAGGAGGAAGGTAGGGAGTGATTTCATCAGCGTAGGGCACTCCCTGTGTGTAAAGTCCTTTTGCCAATATAGATTGGCAACTATGTGGCACTTAGCATTTAGAGAATTGCCTTAAGAACTGAGAGATCAAGTAGCCTGCCTGTGGTCTCATAGCTAATATTTACTAAAGACACACCTTGAATCCAGGTCTTCCTGAATACAAGGCCGGCTTTCTATCCATTATGCCATTTTCCCTTCCTAAAGGGACTTTGGGGAGGTGTAATCAGCCAGGACCCTAGTACAGCTATATTTTCACCATTAGAAGTTTTGCCTGAGGAAAAATAGCAGTACCAGGCTGCTAAGCTCTATCAGGTGGAAAGTCACAGGCTCCTGATTGAGGCCACACATAGGGTCGTTGGACCATATCACGTTGTTATTACACATCAGTGCACTCTAGCCCTGATACATAATTTCATTCTTCGCTACCTGTTGGCATCTCTGTTGTCTTCACAGTATTAACTTCAACAAACCATCCACCGGATAACAAGGCCTCAAAGGGGAGTGAGGGTTATTCTTGTCCCCTTCACCAAGTCTCTAAATAGATAAATGCTGCTATAAAAAGAGATTGGGTTCAATAAAAGCAGAGGCTTTTAGTTCTTTAAAGTTGAAAGAAGTAGGAAATTACCTCCTTGGGTTTTTGAATCACACAAATTACAGATTCAGTGTGTAAACAGAGGGGGAAAGTTTTTTAAAAGAACCACATCTGGACTGCTAAAAAGGAAATATGACATTGAGTTTAGGTGATTCTTAAGCCAGTTAAAATCAGCAGTTAACACCAACAACCTACTAGGCAGGTCAGTGTATTTTCAGTTCCCAATTTAGGTATCTCCTCTTATGCGGCCTATAGTTCCTAGTTTATTTGAGGTAACTATTATTTCATCATAAAAGGTACTCTGACTCCAAAGTCTTGAGTTAGTCAAGATGAACTGACTTCCAAGGAATCTCATTAAAACCACTCAGTGTGAAAGTTTCATTTTTCCTTTTTCCTCCTCTGTTTATTCTTGGATCAGCTCAGCAGCCTGACAGTGCCTGAATGAGATTGACTCTTCTCAAGGACCTATTACCTTTTGAGAGGAATTTCTGTTGAAGACTGGCAGTAATTAAGTCTGTAGGGCATTTGGTGGTGATTGGGGTTTGGGGAGGGGGAGGAATGATGCTGTTATTGCTGCTGCTACAGTTGCAATATCCACAGAGCAAACTGTAAGAGTCAAATGGCAGATTTGGAAAGGAAAGAAAGAAAAAGAAAGAAGGAGAGGGAGAGAGAGAGAAAGAAAGAGACAGAGACAGAGACAGAGACAGAAAGAGACAGAGAAAGAGAAAGAAAAATCCCACCATATTTCAATCTTGGTGGGAGATAAGGGGGACTTTTAGCAGTCTGTACTGCCACCTAGCCTAGACCACACAACTTAGCTCAGTTCAGTTTATGTTTTCAAAGCCCACAATTAAACTAAGTCCTCAGCAACCCACTCATTATTAGACAGGAAGTTCTGGCAACAAGAAAAATGCTTAAAGACTTCTACATCACATCTGAAGCCTTGTTAGGTCCTACTAAGTAAGCTACTCCATGAAAGCCCACCACCTTCTACGTATTGAGTTTAACTTTGCAAATCAAGAAAACATAACTAGATATGTAAAAACCATTCCCATTATGCATGTTACCTGTATCAAGTTTGTTAGCATCTTATGATCCTGAGGCCTTAGAGCAAGTCATGATCTTAGTAAAAAATGAATAAAAGTTTACCTTTTGAAAGACATGGTGGCAGAAGGTACAACCTCTGACACTCTATGTAGAATTCAAGGCTGAAGAATCCTAGGACATTATACCTTGGACGATGAACTGAAAACTCTGACGCTCTCAAATTCCGCAAGATAGAACTGATTTACATACCAATAGACAGACCCAAGAAGACTCTGAAAAACCTCGTGTACTTACGGTAGAAGACATATTCAGTGTAGCTGGACCAGATCTTGTCATCTGTGTACTGATTGACAAAAGAAGCTGTCACTGAGGAATTACAGGCCACCATGTGGAATCCACACTCTGACAACATATCAAAAGCCCTTTCCAGATGTTTGAATTTGAGATAAAATCTGGAAGTGTATCTCTCTGGAGCACGGTCTGGATCTCTGCTCTCATTTAAAGTTTCTCCAAAGACCTCTTTTGCTAGGGAAATTCTTCCACAAACCAAAATACGTGGAACTCTCCGAAACTTGGCATCTGCTTGACCCTCTCGGCCCATGGTGCATGACCCTCGATAGCCAACAGTTATGAAGCCCCACTTACGGTCAGCAGGAAGTAGGGATGAAGGTGGACATATTCTTGTGTCACTCCCTTGGGACATATCCTCAAAATCACTGTGGCAGTATTCATCTGGGCTTTGCTTGATCTCATCAGGTGTCAAGAGTTTGACCAAATCTGGCAGCTGGAAATACTCAGCTTCCCTTTTCAGTCTGCCCCTTTCTGGAAAGTGATCAGGCAGAACTACCTGCCTGTCCCTGAGATAGTCCAGTATGTAGCGGAACAAGAATCCATCTCTGTCAATGAAGAATCTTCCTTTGGAGTCCTTGGCTAGTTCATTAGCACTGTCTCTCTTGGGGGAAAACATTTTCCACAGAAGAGAGTGAGGGATACTTACTAAGGTGGAATGGCGAGTGAAATAAACTTGGCCCCCAACATTTAGTTCCACAACCTCAGGGAAGGAGTTGGGAACTGTCCCTTGTTCTTTTGAAAGATGGTAACTCCTGCAATTTCCACTCAGAGCCATTGTCTTTTATTTAGTTTTAAAAGATGTAATCCAATGGAATTATAGCCCAACCCTTTGCATCAGCTTAGTAGAGAGTAAGGAAAAGGGTTCCACACATTTAAAAGAATCTCCTGTTTTCTCCAATATATTCTATAAGAAATAAAAAATTTTAAAAAAAATTAGAATTGCCCATAGGCGAACATATCATTGATGCAGAAAAAGTAGCTGAAACACTAACTGGTAATATACAGTTACTTCATGGAATGTAATTAACTCATCTACATCATATCTTCCATCAACCTCAGACTGCAAGGTCATGCCAAGTCTACAATTATTCATGGATCTGTCTGGAGGGGGGGAAACGATAGAAATTATTTCCTCAAACACCACAAGTCATTAAAATCAAAAGTAGAAGAGAGATGGAATGAAAAAAAAAGAAGAGAAAGAGGGAGGAAGAGAGGAGAGGTGAGAAGAGAAATACAAAGCATAGAGCAGGAAGAGGAGGAGGAGCAGAAGGAGAGAAGGAAGAGGAGGAAGAGGAGGAGAAGGAGGAAGAAGAAGAAGAAGAGTATGATGAGGGGAGGAAAAGGAGGGGGAGGAGGAGGAGGAAGAGGAGGAGGAAGGGGAAGAAAGAGGAGGGAGAAAAAGGAGGAAGAAATGTTAATTTATATAAACCCAGAAAGAACAGATTTAGCCATGCTTCAACTCAAATTGTGCATCTCACACGATATTTGAATTCTTGCATATTCACCTCCCCCTCTAGCAGTGATTAATGAATACATGCATATTTATAATTCTGCATAAAAAAGAACAGATATTTCAACTTTTAAAAGGTACTGATTTCAAGCTGGGCAGGAGAGGCAACCAGCCTAAAAGCTTACCTTAGTGAGAGTCTGAGACCCAGTTCTTGTGAAGGAATACCCATTTGCAAAGCAATCAGAATTTACAGCTACACTGAGTCCAGTTCATATCAAATCCCAATCAGGGAAAGAACAGAAATATCAATGAAAAGTGCCAAGAGATATACTCTTGGGGGCAAAAAAATCCACTTCCAATCTCAAGTTAAAACAAGTCACAGAAAGTTGACGGTGGTGGGTAATGGGGAGGGGGAAGGGGAAAAGCAAAACAGTAATACTTAACCAAAACCTCTCCCTAAAAATAATGACAATAATAATAATAATAATAATCCGTAAAATGGGAGTTGCAAGAGGGACCTTGGCTCACAAGATTTCCAGAAACCCTAGAATCAGAAAGAAAGCCAGCCTTGTTTTGATGAGATCCCAGATAGTCATCCTACCTGCCAGCAAGGGCAAATAGGCTCCCATGTTCCCAGCAAGGTTGTGAAAGGGCCAGCCTGCAGCGAGAGAGAAGGCAGGCTGGCTAAGGCGGCTGAGTTGTTTGGCTGACTCTCTCCCTCCGCGGCTCTGTCTGCTGAGCTGGGTGGCTCCACAGTTCCCAGTGCAGTTCAGCTGCTGTTGTTTCAGCAGTGCAGGCAAGAAACCATCCAGGGAAATGACTATTACATCATCTTAAAGGAATATGGCTTTGAGAAAGCGGAGGGACCTCGGTTTTACATTCTACTTTGTGACAGGTTGTTGGGAATGAAAGGAAGGGCAAATACTCTCATCCAGCAGTAGACGGCAGCCCCACGGAAGCACTTGGAAGCTTCACACACGGAGGCTGCACTCACTTCACTATTAACTTATATTTAATCCCTAGTAGAGAAAGATGAATTTATAGTGATTTGGGTTTCTTTCTTACTTTCTTTTTTCTTATTTTCTTTTTCTTTCTTCTTTTTCCTTCCTTTCTTCTTTCTTTCCTTGCTTCCTTCCTTTTTTTTTTGCAAAGTTTCCCCAGAGGTAAGATAAACATAAGTGATTTCTTATTTGAAAACAAGCTATAGGCAAGCCTTTTGACATGAATTGAATTTCTGCTTGAAGGGCAAATATATATTCCTAACTCTGTGGTGAGTTCTCTACATGGTTTTGATGAAATGCATACAATACTGCCTCCAAAAATGATACAAATATACAAAGTCTGTATCCATAGGGGAACTTTTTTCATTCAAAAGTATTTAATTCATAGTCTCTCAAATCTCATCTCCTTTCCCTCTTTCTCTTCCTTGGAATTAAAGTCAAACAAAGACCAACAAAAAGAAAGTAAGCATCCTTTGGACTAAATTGTTGAGGGCCGGGAAGAAACAACAATTTTTTTTCCCCAACCTCTTAAAAAAATTGTCCACTTGAACCATTTTCTAGGGCATCCCCCAGAGTCAATGACCATTTTGAAACCCCCCACAACTTATCTCACTATGACTTTGGATGAAGCTTCCACCCCCATCCCTACGATATTACTGTTTCTGTTCCCTTGAGAGTGCTCTTAAGTGCATCATTAGAGTTTTAGGAAATTTCTTCTAGAGCAAGATAATACATATAACAAACTGCAGTCAGTTTTGACTGCCGGTCAATAATAGCCCGTCTATAATGCTTACAGTAATTCATATCCATTTCCCTTTTTAAAAGCTAATGTGCTTTATAGCTCATATTCCTGAGAAAAATATCTTATTTTATATGAATAATAAATGTAGTATTTCAAACACCCATTCAAAATGGGTCCCCAAAAAAGGAACAAAAAAGAAAATATATATTAACTAAATTTCTTGTGGCATTTTCGTTACTTTCTACCTTGATCAAACAAATAATTTGATTTTATCATATTGGGGAAATTTAAAAAAAAAGAACCAAAAACACACAAAAAACAACAAACCCACAACAAAAACCTAGCATGAATCAGTTTCTAACTTAATTACCTTTCCTCCTAATAACCATAGGGTTGCGTTCATCCTGAGAATTCCTCATCACTTGGTTTTACTTAATTTCTTCAATGTTTAACCTGTTTGGGGTTTAAACACAATTTCCCTAACGTTCTGAGCACGGGAAGAGGTTAGTCTATGCAGTGCTCTTATGGCTCCATCTAGTGACTATATCCTATGAACGCAACGCTGCAGCTGTCTATCCTGAGAAAATACTGATTTTCATTTATTCTCTTTTCCTTTTTGGATAAAAGCTTTTGTTTATATGCTACCCCGACTCCAACCCAGATAACTTAGAAATCATTTTTCCTATTCTTTTTCTCTCCTAGTCAAGAAAACAAGGAGAGTTGGTGTAGCTCAGGGGAAAGAACAGGAAGCTTAGTTTCAGATTCCCAGCTCTCCCCTATTTTCACGCTATGGGAATAATCCATGTATGCCAGGCCAGTTGTATTGTCCCTGTATTTATAGAGCGATTCTATGGGAGGTTTTTAGGATAGTTAGCATAATAAAGTGGACAGAGTGTTAGATTTGGCACACAAGATCTTGGATTCAAATCCTGCCTTTCCCTTTAAGCATCTTTCTCCCTCTTTACTCATGAAACATTAGGAGGTTAGACAAGATGGCCTGTAAGGTCCTTACCAACTCTAGATCTATAATCTCACACCTTCTCACCCCCCACAAAAATGACTTTTCATTATTGTTACAAAAAGCTAGTTTTGTTTATGTGAGTTTTGTTTTTGTTTTTGCGGGGAGGGATGTTGAGGATGGATTAATTCTCATAAGACAGGCCAATTTAGAGTACCAATCGCTTTCAGAATTTGATCTGAGTAAATTCTTGCCAGAAGATCTTTAAGGAGGAAAAAGGGAGAGAAGAAAAGAAACAAACCTACTATGTGGCAGTGACTTTGCAAAGTGCTTTATAAATATAATCTTATTTGGTCCTCACAACAATAGGTGCTATCATTATCCTGATTTTAGAAATTAGTGCAGATAAAGATCTAGGTTCACACTGCTAGTTAGTGTTTAAGGCTGGATTTGAACTCAGGTCTTCCTGACACACACACACACACCCCTTCCACCCCCACAGATAACTAGGTAGGACAGCAAGTAGCATGCTGGGCCTGAAATCAGGAAGACTCATCTTTCCAAGTTCATATCTGGCCTCAGATACTTACTAGCTGTGTGACCCTGAGGAAGTCACTTAACCCTGTTTGCTCTAGTTTCTTCCTCTGTAAAATGAGCTGGAGGAGGACATGGCAAACTACCCCAGTATCTCTGTCCAAATGGAGTCATGAAGAGTCAGACACGACTGAAATAACTGAACAACTTCCTGACCCCAGACTCACCATTCTATCCACTAAGTTACTTAGCTGAACTGAGATGAATGAGGCAGGGTTCCAGAAAAAGACAAATCCCAGACCAGAAAAGCTAAAATAACTGAAAGGAAGCTTTGAGATCACCTCGTCTAATTGTCTCCTAATGAAGGTCTCCTGCCTCCCATTTCAGTGCTTGTCCCATCTCTCTGGTCAAAAAAAGAAGAGGAGTAGGGTTTGTAAAAATATGCTATAAGCACAAACTTAGTTAATATACTTTTTAGTTTGAAAAAAAGGTTAGCTTTTTTCAAAAAATCTTTCATCAAACATTTAATATTGTGCAACCAACTGAACTTGTTTAGTAACTATTGACATCTGAATTAATTTCCATCCATGACAAAAAAGAACATTTTTTTCCAGTCAGCCCTTACAATCTGCATCTGGATTCTTTGTTTATCCATTCATTCTCATTCACTTTGCTTGTTCTGTGGTCATACTTCGTGTTCCATAAAGGTGTTTCTAGATTTCTTTGCATTGCTTATATTTGTCATTCTTAATGAGAAGCAGTGTTGCACAGCGGAGAGAGAGCTGTAGTTAGAGGGAGAAAGACATGGATTTGAATCTTATGTCAGATAATTATTACCTACATCACAATGGATAAGCCTCTCTCTGCCTCAATTTCCTCATCTCTAAAACAATGATTAAAAATAGTACTTACTTCATAGGAATGTTGTGAGGCTCAAACCAGCTAATTTATGTAAAATGCTTTGCAAATATCTTAAAGCACTGCATAACTATAAGCTACTCTTAATGACATTATAGCTTTCTATTATGATAATACACCATAATTTAGCCTTTCCTCTGTTTTTAAAATGTAGGTTGCTTCTAGCATTGTTTGATTTTTTTTTTGGCAATTATATAAAATACTGCTACGGAACTCTTTGAGTAGATAAATTCTTTTGTTTTGGATAACATTTTCAAGAAATGGTCCTAACAATGTTATTATTGGGTCAATAGCTACTCAATTTAAAAGGTTTATCACATGAAATTAAATTGATAGAACAAACATTGTTATTCTTTATACAGGATATCCTGAATTCAAGAAAAAGTAAAGTCTCTAGGCTAATTTCATTTTTTGTTTGTTTGCTTTTAAGGAAAGCCATGAAACAAAGACTAGATGTATGTCATCCAATTTGTAGTCTCTGTTCATTCTTACTCCCCTCAGTCTCAGAGATTCAGCCATTGAAAAATGAATTTAGAGAGATAATGGATTTTAGGGACCCAACAGGAAACCTAGCAAAAAGAAGATTAAAGTGGTCCTAAAGTGAATGAATGTATGTCAGACAGATTCCTGTGAGCTAGGAGATTTGGTGGCTTAACCTGAAGTTAGAATGCAAGACTATACCGTATTCCTTTCTTTTATGTCAGCCTCACACCATCTATAAACAGATCCCAGAACTCTATGGACTCTTTCCTTAACCATCAAGCAGGACCAAGGATTTTTCATTGACATTTTTACCATATATGCTTTCTTTCCCATATCCACTTCTTACTTAGGAATTAATAAATAAATCAACATAGCTACAGTTACTATAAATTATATAACAGTCTATTGTCCTATAGCTCCATTCAGACTGCTTAGTCACATACTGCTTAAGCCAGTGCCACTTTCTCTGGCTACCTCTCACAGTCCCCATCCATTTTAGCTTTATCATTCCATATTCCTGTCCCACTCTATCTTACATGCTATAGAATCCGATTCTATTGTTAACAAATTATCCTTCATATTAGACCTGTGTTCTCTCTCACACATATGCATTTCTGTTGAAGTTTAGGGGTGCTGGGGTACTGGGAACCCAAAATCACAACACAGTCTTGCCTGAAAGAATTCCACCCAAGTCTTCTTTCAGCCAAAGACAAGGTTTAAGTGGCAGCTAGGTGGCACAGTGGATGCAGCACCAGCCCTGAAGTCAGGAGGACCTGAGTTCAAATCTGACCTCAGACCAATCACTTGACACTTAACTAGCTGTGTGACCCTAGGCAAGTCACTTAACCCCAATTGCCTAAAAAAGGGAAAAAAATACAAGAAAAGACAAGGTTTATTAGAACATGTGTCATATTGGGTAGACTCTTAAGGAGTCTCAACATTAGTGAGCTATTGGCTAGATTTTAAGAATCTGAGCACCTTAATGGAGACAAGATAGACCTTATACACAGAAAGACTATGGGAGAGATCTAGGAGTGGCCAAGTAGTCTGCAGGGACAGTGAGGTAATGGAATGCCAGGGACCTGGACCAAGTGGCTAAGAGAGAATGGAGCCTAGCTAGGATTAAGAGTGGGAAATTGCTTGGGGCCATAGGGAGGTAAGACAATGGAGGA